CATAGAAGAGGGTGGTAACAAAACAGAAGAAGCACTCTCAAATCCGAGTCTAATTCTATCTTAAACACCAAGAAACCTAGTAACCTAAACTAACTAGGAAATTATTATCCTAATGAATATTATTTTTAATAAAAGTAAAGCATACATAGCTTCCTAAAATAATGAAACTCGAGCATTACTAAATTACAAACACAGAAATAAATTGTAAAAAATAATCAAAGACATAAAAGTTATTTCCCCACATCACCTACTTTCAGAAAAAATATAGAAAAAGAGAAAGGAAGGAAACAACAAAACAGGGCATAGCCTTGTTCTGGTAGGAAGCCTACTTGAGGCCACCATTGGCTTGAGGGCTAGAGCAAAAACACATCTAGAAGAAATGCAATCAAAGTCCAAAATCAGAAGCTGACAGTATAAGACAACTTCATTGATTGAATGTTGATTCCCAGGAGGAAAGTTACTTATATATGGAAATGGATTGGGTTATTCTACACCTGAGAAGTTTTCTAGTTTCAAATGTTATACATAGATCATGGGTGATCAATTGATATTATTTGCTGCTGCTAATTATTTGTGGGTTTTTCTGTGTGGTCACCATCACTTTTTTGCTTATGCATGTTTCCAATTATTTCCTGTTTTTGCAGTGTAATAGTTTCATACTAAACAGCATTCCAGTTATGGTGACTGTGATTTCGTTTGGTATGTACACTTTGCTTGGTGGAAATCTGACACCTGCAAGGGCATTTACATCTCTATCTCTGTTTGCTGTGCTTCGCTTTCCCCTCTTCATGCTTCCTAATATGATTACTCAGGTTTTGTCTTCCTCCTTTGTTGTATCTCTTATAGTCCTGCTTACTGCTGAGATATAGCATATGGTATTTCTGTGTGGAGAGCGATAACTATGATGGCTGTTTTTTTCTGTCATTAATTTAGCTTCTATTTATCATGCTGTTAACTCCTTAAGTTTAACTGTTTAGATTGATTTAATTACTGAAATTGACCTAGTTCTTTCATTTAAACTAATATTGCATTGGCTGAAATAGAATACATTATGCTAAAACAGTTTAGCCAGGAAGCCATAGCTTGATCCAATGGCAAGAGTATTGGGCTTACAACCATGAAGATGCAAGTCTGAATTTTGAGAACACTGCTTCATGCCATGCCAAAACCTGGCAGTAGGCACTTTCTAAACTCTCCTCCCAGGAATTTACTATGGTGGGACAACAGATGTCTTTTTCTACAAAACTTTAGCCAGCCAAAATCTGACCCTTAGCACATTAACTCAAAGGACTGATAACTTTGAAGATGACACCCTAGAAAAACTGACATACAGAGAATTGATCATATGTCTTTTAAATAACCCCAATCTTTTTTGCTTTTCAATATTCCAACAACTTTTTGTGGTCAGCTTTTAATTTTGTCATAAGTCCAAACCAAGGCACGTAAATAATATGTTCTATTCAGCAACTGTTCTTGTTGTTTCTGATCATATTTAATTCCTTTTCATTTACATTACTCATTGATTGCTGCTTTAGAATTATATATTGCACTTAGTTAAATGATTTGATAGCTCATATATTGTTATTCATGATATTGATCTATACTGAGTTCATTTAATTGAACCAACTGCTCGGTCCACATTCCCCTGCCTTGTTTTGTTCTTTTGGTTTCTAATGGTTTTAATCTTACAGGTGGTAAATGCAAATGTGTCCTTAAAGCGTTTGGAGGAACTATTTTTAGCTGAAGAGAGAATCCTTCTACCAAACCCTCTTCTTGATCCTAGCTTACCAGCCGTTTCCATCAAGAATGGATACTTTTCTTGGGATTCAAAGGTTTAATGCATCAACTATAGTGCTTATGCATTACAGGCTTGCTCCTGTTTTCTCTAGTTATGCTTGCACATACAATTACATTTTATTGCATCAATCATTTGCTTGTTAGGTTTAACTATGCATTTCTGTAAATATACAAATTCAGTAATCATATTTGAGCTTGGATTAGGTGTTTCACAATTCAGTGCTACTCTTTCTGCTGCATCTTGCTGTTGGATGAAATGCTAATTATCTGTCCTATTTGCATGCTTTAGGAAAAATGAAGTTCCCCTTTAGACTTGCATGCCTACTGTTTGTTCCTAAGATGTAACAATGATTACACATGACTAGTTATCAACATTAGCTATGCATACATGCAGTATCTAATTGTATGTATAGTTTCATTTTTGTAATTCATCCTATTGTTATTGAGAGTACAATGCTAATACATTTATTTCCAGCTCACTTCTTTATGCTGACATGGTTCTGGCTTTGATATAGTTCATGTTCGCTAGTTATTGGCACTTGTAACCATTAAGATTTTGGTTTTATTTCCAGGCAGAGATACCTACATTGTCAAATATCAATTTGGATGTACCAATTGGTAGCCTAGTTGCAGTTGTTGGCAGCACTGGAGAGGGTAAGACCTCACTTGTTTCAGCAATGCTGGGGGAGCTTCCTGCAACATCAGATGCCAGTGTTGTTATTAGAGGAACAGTAGCTTATGTTCCACAAGTTTCCTGGATTTTTAATGCAACAGTAAGTTGTGCTTGCTTATGTTGTGTGCATGTATATTATGGTATGCTTGTCCTCTGTGAATATGTAAATTGGTCATGATAGCAGTTATAGGTAATAACTAAAATCTTGTAATGAAGCTGTGTTGATTATATTAATGCATTCAAGGAGTATTATATTTTATTCAGTTAGGCTACATCATTTGAATTACTTTAAGTGCACTCATTAATTAGTTGATTGTGTTTTCCTTCAATTCTGTGAACTTATAATCTATCATTTCAGGTACGGGATAACATTCTCTTTGGATCTCCCTTCGATTCAGCAAGATATGAGAAGGCAATTGATGTGACTGCATTGCAACATGACCTTGATTTACTGCCTGTAAGCTATTTGTTAAACTTGTAAAATGGAGCTATCTTATGGACTTCAAGAGGTCTACTCATTATGCATTGTTTATTTTTCTCACATGTTTGATTACTAGGGTGGTGATCTCACCGAGATTGGTGAAAGAGGAGTGAATATCAGTGGTGGGCAAAAGCAAAGAGTTTCCATGGCTCGGGCCGTATATTCCAATTCAGATGTTTATATTTTTGATGATCCCTTAAGTGCTCTGGATGCCCATGTAGGCCGACAGGTAAGCTCTATTATTTAGAAATGACGCTGCTCTCTTTTCATGGTTGCTCCCAATGGCAAATATGATGTGACTTATGGTCCTGAGGCACTGCATACATGGGTTAATACTTTTCACTAATATTGACGAGAATTAAATATGGGTCTCTGATATCCATGCAGGGTCAATTGGTAGGATAGGCTTGACTTCTGCTAAATTTTAGGAATAATATAATTTTATGCACATGCATGTCCATGTGAATATTCCTTGCAAACATAGTAGAGATTGGGACCGAAGAAAAATATATATTGCAAGGAAGGATCCTGCTGAAGTGGGATTCTAATTTCTAATATTGTTGGGAAGAGAATGCTGTATTGGGGTGGGGTTATGATTTCCACGTGCATATCCATGTGGATGGACAAGTCTTTGCAAAATTTATTAGATACATAGGGAATAGAAAAGACAACTCTAGTGCCAAGGAACGATCCTGCTGAAGTAGGATTCTAGTGTCTAATGTTGTGGGGAAGTGAACACTGTATTTGGGGTGGGGTTTTGATTGGTCTCAGGTTCACACCAATGGATAATTTATGCTTTCCTAATGTCTTGAAGTTCTTACAAAACTTCCTTTCACTTAGATGTGTGTTTATTATATTTGATTCTCATTTATAACCTGCTGGAGTGTGGGCTGGTAGACTCTCTTTGCACTGCAGAGGTATCCAGGGTTCAACCTGGGAAATTGCTAGTTTTCACCTTGGAGGAAAAAAAAAATAATCTGCTTTCATCTTTTTGGGATGTCCTTTTGTCTTAGAAACACTTGCTACATATGTTTGTAAAATTTGATCAAATAAGTTTATTTTTATTTCTAGAGCATTGGTATCATACAAAATTTTTAATAAAATCTGATGTAATGCTTAATCAATTATTTATTATTTATGGGACCTACAATTCACCACCTACACTTGCCACTCTGTCTGTTGGAATTTCAGTGCTATTTTTTAGTATGCATAGCAATTTCCTTATTTTATTCTAGCAAAGGTGATCTATGTGCACTACCCATTATCTCCAGGTTTTTGATAAATGCATCAAGGGAGAATTAAGCAGGAAAACGAGAATTCTGGTCACAAACCAACTTCATTTTCTTTCTCAAGTTGATAGAATCATCCTGGTTCATGAGGGTATGGTGAAAGAGGAGGGCACCTTTGAGGACCTCTCTAATAATGGAATGCTGTTCCAGAAGCTGATGGAAAATGCAGGGAAAATGGAAGAATACGAAGAACAGGAAAATAATGAAATTGTTGATCATAAAACCTCTTCAAAGCAGGTTACTAATGGGGTAATGAATAACTTGCCAAAGAATGTAAGTGGTACAAAGAAATCAAAAGAAGGCAAATCTGTTCTTATCAAGCAAGAAGAACGGGAAACAGGTGTTGTCAATTTGAAAGTGCTGATAAGGTAATAAAATACAGACTAAAATCCAGTGCTTCAATATTGTGTTTTGTGAAACTGCAATTTTCATTTTTATTTGAATGATATATATTGGAAGGTGTGCAATGTCCTTTTGATGAATCCTCCCATCATAACTACCAGAACAATAAGTCATGCTACTTAGAGATTCTCTATCTCATACCTCTTTCATGCCCTTAAGTATCTCAATTTGGATAGCTAGTTGAAGAAAATTATATTTCAATCTTATTCATATTCCCTATCTTCTGTCTCTAAAAAGGGCTTCATGACCTTTCTAGTGTCTGATCTTGCTGGAGTTGTTTTTTCTTTTTTCTTTTTTTGTGTGCTAATCATTGCTTCTCTAAAAGAAAGAAGGTGAAGAAAAAAAATTCAGAAAGAAGGTGAAGAAACAAAATTCTTGTATCAATATATTACATATGCTAGAAATTGGAATTTTGGGTGGTGAAGGGGCCAAGCTGCATCTTAGAGAAGGGGATTAGCTCCCCTTAAATGTTTGCACTTCCCTCATTTAATCCTTGAAAATTTCCACAATTTTCATATAGTTCCAAACAAAGCTGCATTGGGTGCCCCTCATTATTTTAAGTTTAAAAGAAAGTTCATTAAATGCTATCAAATATATTTATTTTGTACTTTTAATACAAGTTTAATATGTTATTGATAGTTGTTTTGTTTCTTATTTGCAAATCACACAACAATATGGATAATAATTAACATACATCATTGCATTCACCTAATTTTCATTCTTTGCTTGACTCTTTTGATGCTATGTTTTTCCAAAAAAATTATTATGTGATCATCTATAAATATGTATGTATATATGCACATAGATATTTATAAATAGCCCATGGATAATATGTATAGAGTGCCATACTCATTTATTCTCATTCACTAGAAAATCTAACTACCTGTAACAAAAAAAATTACCTTTGCCACTAGTGGTGATGGGCACTTTACTGACATGTTCTTTATTTAGTTTATTTTACCAAATGACAGCTGTAAATATGATTTCATTGTTAAATAAAATTTCTCTTGCTTGAGGAAAAAATAGAAAAAAGATCTGCGCTGCTTGTTTGTTTCTTGGTTATTCCTATTGGCATGCTGCTGCCTCTCGTTCTGATCTTCTGATGTGTTGAGGAGGATTGCGAAATCATAGTGTAAGGTAGTAAATTTGTTTACTCAACATGTTTTAGATGTTGAAATGAAATATTAAATGGTAGTTCGACATTATGAATGAACGTGCAATGGCAAGGCATCTTTGAGGTGAGAATTAGTTACAGTGTTTTGATTACAGAACTGCTCTCAATATTTCCTTTGGTGGAATCTTTATGATGTTATATCAGCATATTGATATGCTGATCAGTGGAGCTCAGGAAGAGATACTGTAAAGGAAGTGCAACTAAAATGAAAATCAGCCTTACAAAACAGAAAGGTTCTAGGTTCTTTCAGATAAAATGGACAAAATGAAGAGTGAATCTTTGAGGTGAGAATTAGTTACAGTGTTTTGATTACAGAACTGCTCTCAATATTTCCTTTGGTGGAATCTTTATGATGTTCTATCAGCATGTTGATATGCTGATCAGTGGAGCTCAGGAAGAGATACTGTAAAGGAAGTGCAACTAAAATGAAAATCAGCCTTACAAAACAGAAAGGTTCTAGGTTCTAAATGTTCAGATAAAATGGACAAAATGAAGAGTGAATCTTTGAGGTGAGAATTAGTTACAGTGTTTTGATTACAGAACTGCTCTCAATATTTCCTTTGGTGGAATCTTTATGATGTTATATCAGCATATTGATATGCTGATCAGTGGAGCTCAGGGAGAGATACTGTAAAGGAAGTGCAACTAAAATGAAAATCAGCCTTACAAAACAGAAAGGTTCTAGGTTCTAAATGCTCAGATAAAATGGACAAAATGAAGAGTGAATTCAGATGCTAACATGGAACGATTATCCTAGGAGTTTACAGACCAGATTGACAGGGCCAAGTTTGAAAAGAAGTCCGCAAAGAAACTTGGAAGCATCTCATATGAAGCATGAAGTTACTTTTTTCTTGTTTTAATTATTTTCTTAGTTAATTTTAGATCATAATTATTTGTTTCCTACTTAACTCGAGACTTTTAATTTAATTAGCATTTTACTATTTAGGAATCCTAATGCTAGATGAATTCTATTAATTATGCAAGTTTTAATTAGGAATCGTTTCCTATAATGATTTTAGTACTAATAGAAATAGAAATAGAGATGTATAGTTTATTTTATGGAGATGAAGACTATTATTCAAATTCAATAAAATACCAGAGAATTTGCTCTTAATTTCTCTATAGTTAGGTCTATAACCTTGGGGCTTGAGAATCTTAGTTTTATTTTTGCTATATACTGCATTAGGTGGTATAAGAGTGGGTCAACATCTGGATTGATGGCGAATTGTGTAGAGAATCGTGGAACCGATGGTGGCAACCATCCCCATGATGGTGATCAGAGGATACAGGCTCCAGATGGTGGCAACCATCTCCATGATGGTGATCAGAGGATACAGGCTCCTTGAGATTAGCTAGATTGCCATTTAGTAGTGATAATAGTTTGAGAGGGGTGAATGCAAATTGGATTTGGCAGCCTCAATGCCGATGACCTTACATCTAGGCATGAGGCGCTAGGTGATGTAAAGCTTCTTGGTTCAACCTCACGTTGAATCTAATAAGAACAATTAGTAACTAGCAACACAGGATTCGCTCCAGTTTATATTTAACAAAAATAATTTCCATAAAATAATGATCTTTATCGTCTGTTCTCCCTTTAAATACCCTCCAACTAAGGAATTACAATCCAATAAGTAACTAAAACCAAATACTACTTGGACTAGGAAACTAACAGCTAACTAGAATAAAATAACTACAGCTAATAAACTTATAACTTATCTTTATCTCACATGTCTCCTTTGCCTAGTAGACTTCGTGAATTAAAGGCCGCCTTCCTCTGTCGCCCATGAATAGGGGAAAAAGAGAGGCACATGCCTGGGATGACTCTCTCAGCCAACCTTGCGGGAAGGTCATATGATAAAGAAGATTAATATTGACTAATGGGAGGCACAAAGAGTAAATGAACTTGCTTGGAGACTTATCTCAGGGTCAACCTTACCTTGGATCTATTCTTGAAATTCCACTTAGACAACTATTTGTTTATGTGAAGGGTGTTGGTGAAGATGAAGTTGGAGACCATGAGACCTTTTCATATCAAAACATACAACCACAACCTAAGAGTTGAATGTTAGTATGAGCAAGAATCTTTCGATGATGAGGTTGTCCTATGTGAACTTGATGAAGAAGATTTATATGATGATGGAGATCTTTTAAACTAGGACATGGAGGACTGATAATTTCTGACAAGTCTTCTAGAGATATTATGAAAAATTGTTTTGGTGTTCCTTTAAATACAATAGTTGAAATATGGGAGGACATACATGATGTTGAACTCATGTTTGAAGAAGAAAAATGTGGGAATGAACTATAAGTGGATTTCATAGGACCAAAAATATAACATCAAATATGGATTTTTCCTTATTACACACACATCATAAATTAAATTCTGAAGTTCACGGATCAAAGACATGCTACTTTATAAATATGTTAGCTACAATATTATATTCAAAGTATTTGTTCCTTTAGAATGGAAGAGTTCAATTTCTGACAGATAACTAGAGGAAATTGTTTTCTGAAGTGGGGATGATTGACATAGGACAAATATCCAAGAAGTTTACGAACTACATTGAGGAGGCCAAGCCTAAAAAGAAGTCTGCAAAGAAAACCCAAAAGCATCTCATATGAAACATGAAGTTACTATTTTCCTGATTAATTTTGGATCTAATTATTTGATTGCTACTTAACTTGGAATTTTTAATTTAATAAGTATTTTACTATTTAGGAATTCTAATGCTATATGGATTCCTACTAATTATGTAAGTTTTAATTAGGAATCCTTTCCAATAAATGATTTTAGTACTAATATATATAGAGATGTTTAGTTTATTTTATATAGATAAAGACTGTTATTCAAATTCAATAAAATACTAGAGAATTTTCTCTAGATTTCTCTACAGTGAGGTTTGTAATTTTACAGCTTGAGAACCCGAGTTTTATCTTTGCTAAACACCATGGCAGGTACCATGCCTAAATTGCACAAGGGGGAGATTCAAGTATTTACTTTTCCAAGAATGGCTTTTTATTGATTCCTGCATGATGCGTGCTGAATCATTTGTTAATTGTCAATTATAGGTTCTTATCTTTGTTTCTTCCATAATATTCTGACGAGTATTTTGATTACTTCATACCAGGTACAAGAATGCATTAGGAGGTGCATGGGTGGTGATGATACTCTTCATGTGCTATTTAATGACAGAAGTTTTACGTGTTTCAAGTAGTACATGGTTGAGCAATTGGACAGATCAAGGCACTTCAAAGAGACATGGGCCTCTCTACTATAATCTAATCTATTCACTTCTATCAATTGGTCAGGTATCAATCAGTTGGATGAAATTAAGTTACATTTCAAGCATGGATATTCCCTTTATGCTTTTTTTCCGATAAATCATTATTCTATGTTGCTTTGTTTCCTGTTTTCCAAAAATGTAGAGACATCATCACCATCCTTTTGTTTTAAAGGAATAGTTTCAAAATCTTGTATCTTCTATCACGTACCAACTTAATTTTAAATCTTTTTTTCTATTATATCCAGGTGTCGGTGACATTATTAAATTCATATTGGTTGATTACATGCAGTCTCTATGCCGCCAAGAGACTGCATGATGCGATGCTTAATTCCATACTAAGAGCTCCAATGGTCTTCTTCCACACCAATCCACTTGGACGTATTATCAATAGGTTTGCCAAAGATCTAGGTGATATTGATCGAAATGTTGCCATATTTGTAAATATGTTCATGGGCCAAATATCACAGCTTCTTTCTACATTTGTTCTCATTGGAATTGTGAGCACCATGTCTTTATGGGCCATAATGCCACTTTTGGTTTTGTTTTATGGAGCCTACCTATATTACCAGGTACCCGAAACCTTTTATTCTCACATTCCTCTTTTATTCCTCTTTTTAATTTTTGTTTCTAAAATGTTCCTCCTCTCTTCTGACATTTTATCTTTTCCTGTTTAGTATTTTCTTTCATTTAGTATTTACCTCATGCTAATAATTTTGTTAAATATTTTTACCTTATGCTAGTATTAGAGCAGGCACTAGTTCCATCAGCAAATTAGTAACTCAAAGCACGTATGATCAGATCATTTCCATCTTTAATAAATGCAAATATATGTTGAACTCTAGAGAAATGATAGGTGACCATCTTTGTTGAACACCATTGACATTTAACAAAAAGTGTGCTTGTGTGCCCCCACACACAGACAGAATGCACACTTATGTACTGTATGTATTCCAGACTTGACAGAATTATAATGAAGGATAGTTTTGAAAATTGTAGAATTGTAGTTCTGTTGATGGGAATTAGGTTTTGGGATTGAAGTCCAAGGAATCTAAGGATTTGGGTTAGATTAAGCCTGTTGATAATAATCTGAGAACCGTGGCAGCAAATATTAGAGCAAGGATGAAATAGAGAAACAAGGGAAAGTCTTGGGAACCAAGCATATGAAATAATGTAACTCCTGATATGACATTTACATTCTTATTTAAAATTAGAACTCCTAAATAGACTAGGACTGAGATTTATAAATAATACTTCTTAACTATTCTTGAATTAACTAGGAAAGTAAATAAAAAATTATTAATTAAAGAGTAAAGACTAAGAAACCATGCTCCAAAATATGATTAGGTGACAGAGGGTGGGAAAAGAAAACAGCACTAAACAACTATAACTTGAAGAAAATTGAGATTAGAACAAGGGAATAAGTTATCAGGTTTGTAGAAAACCAAAACTGAAAGGAAACCATAATGAAAAAGCTTGTGAGAGACTAGACCTTCTGCCAAATCTTGAAATTTGCAGAAAGATGCAGAATTAACAATTCTGCCCCTACAATTAGGAGTAATTTCTTAAAGCCAGATGCTAAGCTCCAAAATAAGACTAGATCCTCCACAAAGTCTGAAAAGTATGAAAGCCCTCTGTTATGCATAAATTATACTTGATTCAAACTTTAATCCCTAACAAGAAATCAACCATGGACATGTGTTCCTTGACCATAAACAACTCTTGATTGATGAAATTAAACTAGCCTTGGGTTCCATGAAAATTCTTCTCTAAATATGACAGCCACTCCATCATACTTTCACATCAATATGGATTGGTTGTGGAATTAAGGACAAGATTTTGTTAGTTTGTTCTGTAATAGTTGCCCCTATGTTTATTCTCAGTTCCCTCATTCAGGTTAGTTTATGTTTTCTTTCTTACCTTGTCTGTTCAATGTGAATCAGACTACTTTTGTTGCTGCTATTATGGAAAAACTCAATTTAGCCAGGTTTTTTTTTTTTTTTTTTTTTTTTTTTTTTTTTTTTTTTATCATCATGTTCTTCATTCATCTGAATTCTAGCAATTGCAATAATTTTTTATTTTATCTGTCATATCATAACGTTCATCAGCATTTTGATTTCGAGATGTCATCATTTATTGTCATGGACACTGTTAAGGTGCTTGGAAGTTTACAGCATAAAGTTTGTATCATGCCATGTTTGTTGAAATCGAATATCAGAATATCATGTAGATTGACGAGTAGTTATGTATCTAGTAGGAGATTGATGCAATGCTTTGCTCATAGCTTTTATCATTTTTGTTCTGTTATTATTGCTATCATGAATTCTTGCTGCAGTATTTCTAGGATAAAAAACATATTATGATGCTTCAGTGACTTTTCGGAAGATAAATAATTTCTATCCTTAGATGCATTTTTATTTCTAAATGCATTGTTCTATCTAAGAACCATTTTGTTCTACAGAGCACAGCCCGTGAAGTTAAGCGACTGGATTCCATAACTAGATCACCTGTTTATGCACAATTTGGAGAAGCTCTGAATGGTCTGTCAACTATTCGTGCATACAAAGCTTATGATCGGATGGCCAGCATAAATGGAAAATCAATGGACAACAATGTCAGATATACCCTGGTAAACATGAGTGCAAACCGCTGGCTGGCAATCCGGTTGGAAACATTAGGGGGCATTATGATTTGGTTTACAGCGACCTTCGCAGTT